GATACTTATCTTGCAGGTGATGAAGACAGTTGATAAGAAAAATGTGTACAAAGTTACGGATTTATCGCAAATTTTGATCTGTTCGCACGATGTGGAACCATTTACGAGCGCATCATCATCACCGCGCAGCGATATTTCGAAAATAAAACGTGATAAAGTATGGCAGTGGCCTCATGGACGTGAGTATTTTTTACCTAAATTCCATTTTCATTACGCACTTCCTCAAAATTTTTCCCTCATTTTCCCTCATGCCTGTTCTTTTTTTCATATGGTAGAGAATTTTTCAGTCACTCCACCGATGAAGAGTGTACGTAAGCGACGTTTTCGTAAGACAAAAAAGAAGAAATATTTGGATGCACCAGATATTGAACGTGAACTGAAACGTCTTCTGAGAGCCGACATTGAAGCTACTTCAAGTAGATGGGAGGTATGTCTGTTTTAACTTATTAAACGAAAAAATTTGACATTCTTGTGTGGAAAAGGACAGTAAATACAAACTGGAAACATGTAGCTCAGGATCAGCAACCCTGCCAAGAACTGCTATACAGATAGAATTAAGGACAAAAGAGGGATAATAGCAGTACACAATAACAGTAATAATAACAGTAATATTAACAACAATAATAATAGCAGTAATAATAACAATAACGATAATAATAATAATGACAATGAAAACGATAATAGCTATAACGATAATAATAATGACAATAAAAACTATAATAACAATAATAATAGTAATAATAACGGTAATGATAACAACAAACAAAGTCACAATAGTAACAACAATAATAATAATAACATGGAATAGAACAGTAATACAGTAACTAAATTAGCAATAAGGCAGGATATTGAGAATGCCCGAAATCCCGATATGCTTCTTGTAGTAATATCCCTGCTAGCATTTCGAGTTGTTCTGGAACACTTTCGTATCAGTTCAAGAGATTGAGGTGTTGTGGTACCTGAATCAGCTGGTAATTTGTCATGCCCATTTGCACGGATCGCAACTTCTCCAGTTACATTGACCCTCATCTGGTGGTAAACTTTTCGGCAGTTTTGTATCCTTACAATTCACTGGCTCAACGATCCCGCAAGAAAAACATTTAGCAAGGCCTTAACTATATCGAGATGTCTTCTGTATGTGCTTAACATCACCTCTCCGTCCCTGGCTTACCTTATGGGCTGACGTACTTGGAGTACTATAAAAGGCCAGTTTTTCATTTTTATATTTTATGCAATTTTTATGCGTTTTGTGCTGTAACAGCAGTACAAAACGCATATTGTTACGGGTTTGTCTGTTGTGTGTTTGTGTGTGTGTGTGTGTGTCCGCAGCAACTTGGTCCGCAACTTTCAACTCGGGAACCACAAAAGCTAGGAAGCTGAAAATTTAGGGTAACGTTCCCCACCGCAACTTTCAACTCGGGAACCACAAAAGCTAGGAAGCTGAAAATTTAGGGGAACGTTCCCCACCTGCAACTTTCAACTCGGGAACCACAAAAGCTAGGAAGCTGAAAATTTAGGGAAACGTTACCCACCCACGTGTGACCCCACAACTTTCAACTCGGGAACCACAAAAGCTAGGAAGCTGAAAATTTAGGGTAACGTTCCCCACCCACCTGTGACCCCGCAAATTTAAATTCAGCTTCCAAGTACCCGCGGGTAACGCGTACGGCCCTGTGAAAGTTTTTTACGGGTAAGTTAATATCTCGGGAACC